TAGTATCTCATCATCCTATTGAAATACACTTCAACTACTTTATGTACTTCAATAGTATAAGAAACTAAAAGTTAAATCAGAAATCTATTTAGATTTCACAAAAACATCATAAAAAATATAAATAAAACAATAACGAACTTAAAACTTTCATTATTAGAAGTCGATTAAAAAAAATATCGAAAATGTAAACAAAAAATATTTAATTCCAATTTCGAATAATTTAAAACTTTTATTGGCGTGAACAAAAAAAAAACAACGAATGAACAGTTTTGAAAAAAAAAACACAATTACAAAGCGAGTGAATCCTACGCACGTACATGAATTGTTTGCGGCCAGTTTCATTTGTTCCACGGTTGACTTCACTACACCAGTACAGCACGTGCGTATAATTCCAAGTCGCTAAGACGCTCCGGGGAAGTGGAAACTGTACAATTACGAACAAACGTACTTACATAATGGCATTATGCGATATCCACCATAGAACATTGTTACACAACATCCGATCAGGACGGAATTCGGAAATTGCTGTGGCGTCTGAAGGGAAAACCTTATAACGCGTTTAAGCGCGAAGGAAGGATACATTAATATTGTTCTCAAAATAATTACATAATAATAAACTACCTGTTTTGATATATATTCTCTGATTTTGTACTTACGATTTAGATTATAATGTATTTTATAGGACACAATGGAATAGGACAGAATAGGACGGGAAAGGATTTTTTTTATTCAACTTAGAATGGCAAACAAGCTGACGGCCCACCTGATGGAAAATGGTAACCGTCGCCTATAGACATGAGCAATACCATGGACATAACAGAGTATACTGTTTCACCCATGATACCCCCATGCGTTGCCATTCCTGAGGACTCAGGTGTACCTCCTTACCCAGTAAATACACGCCATTCACGCCAAGGAAGGAACAGGATTGCATATTTGCAAAGTAACTTACGACATAATGATAATTGGTTTTTTATTTCTACTTTTGGACATAAGCAGACTGACTTACGGTCGGGTTAATTATTCGTTTGTATATATATTCAATCATAATGTCTGAGATGATGATGATGATGATATATTTGTATTAATGATTTTTGTAACAGATAGTATGTGTTTATAAAATGGCAGAAGATGATTGATGATTAATATGAAACTTAGCGGGATTAAACAAAATAAGTCAAATTAAATGACCAGTATTTTATTTGTTTATTATTTATATGTTTTTGTACATTCACTTATAATATAGATATTAGGTTATATCAAAATGTACACAGGCGGACTTATTTATCAGTATTTATTTCATTTTGTCACGATTTAAGAAATTTCATAGCATAAATCTATTTAAGCACCATCATTTGTCAACAGTGTTGCCAGATTGTGTATTTTTTATTTTGCTGTTTTGGATAAAAATATGTCTTTTGGAGAAAAGTAATTAATAGTTGGAGAAATTTATGTAGAAAAGTGAAATTACTGTAGAGAATTTTGGATAATTTAATTGAAAATGTTCATATTTTATTGATTGCAGTAAGATAATTTTATTATCAGAACATGCATTTTCAGAAGGAAAGGAGCTTTATTTCTTTTTTATCGTAGTGGTAAACTATAGTGAAACTAGATGACAGTTTCGGTACTAGTGTAAGAAATACAAGCAATATAATTTTGAACATTTTGAACAAAAAAAAAAAATTGAAATTCGACGGGAAATAAAAAACGCATCGGGCAACATTATTTGCTAGTTCTTCGGTCAGTTTAGTACGGTAATGTTACGCAAAACCGGTAATAATAGTAATCCCATAATAACTGCTTGCTTTCCTATAAAATTATTTCAATCCGCGATGCGCGTCACTGTCGAAACAGTTGTGTCATAGTTTCTACACCATTGTCGTTTATATTGACTAAGAAGTAAATTATCGCTAATTATAACTAGTTTACTCACTCGACACGCCTCGGCGAGCGTTTATGAATCATATTAAATACTTGCGAGCTATAAAATGGAACCTTGACCGACTGTATTCACAATAAAGCAGTCATAGTTTATAAACGATACTGGTTAGTTGATTAGAATTATTTTGTTTAGTTCCGCTACAATTAGTATGTGTGCGACTGGCAACACTCGAATATTTACTACTATTATTGTTACCAGAAATTCTATAACTTCCATATTAGTTATCAATCTCCGACTGTCATTCCGTCCACGCACGTTTTTACACACATAACAGGAAAATATTTATTAATCCCTGACCATAGATAGTACAGAATATTATTTTATTTATATCTTCAATTAATACTGAAATACCTATTAGAGGGAGACTTTGTACAAAAGTCGATTGCTTGGGTACCTCTGTCCCATTCGTGTTTCTACCGTGAAGCAGTTGTGTTTGCTGGCTGTGTTTCGGTCTGAAGGGTGGGATATGATGTAAATTTACAGGGTACAGAGGATTAAAACCTGAGTCCTCAGGAATGGCAACGCATGGGGAGTATCATGGGCGAAACAGTATACTCTGTTATGTCCATGCTACTGCTCATGTCTATAGGTGACGGTTACCACTTTCCATCAGGTGGGTGGTCAGCTTGTTTGCCATTCTAAGTTGTATAAAAAAAACCTACATATATGTCGCGAACATGCAGGCCAATTATCTATAAACATACACTATGCGATCATTTCGTTGGTGATTCATCACCGTCATCATCTCAGCCGTTAAGTGTCCACTGCTGAACATAGGCTTCCCCTATGAAGAGGAGTTTTACCAGTAGTCACGCTTGGCAAGTGGGTTGGCAACCGCAATTAGGCTTTGATGTTTTAAGAGGTACGCTGCTGCCCATCTTTCGATCATTAAATTCCCTTAGTCGCTTCTTATGACTTCTACGGAAAAGGAAGGGTTTTTTTTTTATGGGTGAAAATGGTATGGTAACCCGCCTGCGCTAACGGGATACGCTGGCAGAGCACTAGTGAAGGGTGATAGATGAGAATGAAAACAGGCCAGTTAGCCCATCATGATGAATTCATCAGGAATTAACCATGATAGTTTCCAGGGGGAACCGCGAGGAGTTTGACCTTGTTGGGTATATTGCTAGCAATGAGATTCTCAGTCTCCATTATTAACAACCCTTTTAGTTTTGATGTTATGAGGGATCAGATAAACATACAGTTAATCGCTCTGTAGAGGCAATGGCAATTTCATTGTAGTTCAGCTGCAATAAAAATTGCTGTCAGGTTGACCTCCACGTGGTTCCTCCTGGTACTCACCGTGCTGATTTCCAAGTATTCATCACGACAGGCTAACTAAGCCACCTTTGCATTCCCACCTATCATCCCTCACTGGTGCTCCGCCAGCGTATACTGTTAGCGCCTTCGGGATTACCATTCCATTATAATCTTCTAAGAAAGAACTCTCTGTAAGGAGAACACTGTATTTGTTTGAGATTTGAGACTAGAACAAATTCACTTTCAAGATTGCATTTTAAATTAACAATTTAGTCTAAATAATCAAAATGTAGAGTAAAAATGGAAACTAATTAACTCTAATTGTGTACGTTCTCTCAATTCGCATCTCAATATGAAAGCGAAAACAAAGACTTTGCAGTTGTGTAAAAAAATTGCTTTCATTTCCTTTTGTAGGTAATTGTGTTTTGTTTCTCAAGCGTTTGTCTGCTTTGAATTTCAATGATAGGACGGACATACATTACATTATATTAGATATTAGTGGTCCGGCCCGGCTTCGCACGGTTTAATAGAACTTTTGAAAATAATATTTATTTATTTATTTACACTTTATTGCACCATTTATTGAATAGTAAATACATTTAACTGTAACGTGAAATGATACAAAAGGCGGCCTTATCGCTAATCAATCTCTTCCAGACAACCTTTGGGTAGAGGACATAGAGAAAAGAAAGAAAAACAAAGGGTAGGTGGCGCATTATTATATATAAACAAATATATACGCATTAAAAAATAGGTACATTGACAGAACAGTAAAAAACGCGGGAAATAGACTAATGTTGCCACACACAAAAATACAAACGCAACAATTACCTACGTTTTTTTTTTAATAATAAAAACATTAACATAAATAAAGTCGCAGTAATAATAATACTAATGTGAAATTATACAGTTCGTTGGTCAATAAGTTAACTACCTTGGTAAGGACGATCTGGTTATAACAGAAGGTCAATGGCCAGTAGGGCTCGTTAATAGGTATGGCGTTATTTTAACTGTATTAGTCAACAAGAATTACAAAATTGAATATTTTTAAATTGCGCGTTATGACAGTATACATTTATATTTATCTTATCTATTATTGTGCATTACTTCGGTCAGTTCAAACTGGTAATAATAAGCAGAGTCAACTCCCTATGTAAAAAAAACCATTAAACCTCTCGATAGATACGTTTTCGTTCGCGGATGCATAATAAATATTATAATATAACACATAGAATGACTATATATATATATATATATATATATATATATATATATATATATATATATATATATATATGATGAATTGATACATTTAATATTATTAGTGATCGTCCAGTGGTCGAAGTTCGACCATTTCATATATTGTAATAAATGAATTTATTATGGTTATGTGTGACATTCAGTAAGACTATAGACAAATAATGTGAAGGACAAACAATATTAATCTATTCACAATTTGACCAGAGACTTTAACAATAAACAATAAAAGTATGTAATTATGCGTGTGTGTGTGTCGAATACATGGTAGTGTGTGTGTTTGTGTGTATTTTTTTATTTGATAGATAGACAGATCTATCTATCTATCTAGTGTGTGTGTTTGTGTGTATTTTTTTTTATTTAACGTATATTTTATGCATAATTAAAAAAATATTAGCATTCTGCACTTCTTCTCTGTATAAAATATAAGTGTGCCAAATTTCACACTCTTCTGTCTGCGCAATTTACGTAAAAAGAGGTACAAAGTTTTTGTTTCACATATTAATATATAGTGTTATTATTTTATTCTATTATATAGATAAATATAAGTGTTGAACATTTGTGTGATTTATAAAACGACCAACAAACACTTAGTAGTGATACTACGCAAGTGAAATGTGATAGAAAGTGTGTTTAGTGTTCGCACTGCTATGTGATTTGTTCGTCCGTCTGGTGCAACCATATCTCGGATACATCATGGGGCTGCATAAACGCGAAAGTGAGTATACAAAATTTTATGGTCTATATTTTAAAATTGATGTTAAATCCTCCCGCGCACGCCCAGGCTTTTGAATGAGCTCGCTGCCAATGTTTTCCCTACATACTATATTTTTGTTCATTTCAGTCGTTAACAGTCCACTGCTGAACTTCCTTCCTCGTAAGGGGAGTTTTGCTATTACTTGCCACGATTGGCAGGCGTATTGGCAACCGCAGTTAGGCTTTAGAGATGTTTTAAGAGGAACGCTGCTGCCTATCTCTTATCCATACTTGGTCGTCTCTTATGACACCCACAGTCCATTCTATGCCGGGACCACATATACCTTATATTATTATTATTATGCACGAATATATAGCTTAAATATAGAATATAGATTACGATAATAGAATATAAAAAAAAAAACAAAAGATAAACAAAAACATTGATTTTGTTTTGTGATTAAACCAGTTATTTTATAGCTGGCTGGAAAAGACTGCATGAATTCATTGCACCGACAAGAGGGTACATTTAAATGAAAAGAAGAAGTATATATATATATATATATATATATATATATATATATATATATATATATATATATATATATATATATATATATATATATATATATATTACGTATACTCAATTCAGTAGCAGTTATAAATCAACAATTAGTTAAATACTCTGACGGTTACGTCGGCTCCCGCCAAATTATCCTCATACGAAACAATGGAGTTATTAATGTAATTACTCTGTCGGAAATGCCCATTCGGAAGGAAGTCGGTAGGAATACGCCATAAAATTAAATTATGGCTATGATATGAGTGCAGAATTACTCTATGTACCTACTCATAAACATAATCATAATGTAAACAATGTTTTCGTATGTTTTTTTTTTTCACTCACCACCTTTTTTTTTTAAATGGGTGATAATGTAATGGTAAACTCGCCTGCGCTATCGGTATACGCTGGCGGACCACCAGTGAGGGGTGATAGGTGACGATGAAAGCAGGTCAGTTAGCCCATCGTGATTAATTCCACTAGAATTAACCACGATGGTTTCCAGGGGTAACCGCGTGGAGGTCGACCTGATAGGTGATAATAATAATAATAAAAGGGGGGAAAGGGATTGTTAGTAATGGAGACTGAGAATCCCATTGCTAACAATATACCCAACCAGGTCGACCTCCTCGCGGTACCCCCTGGAAACTATCATGGTTAACTCCTGATGAATTCATCATGATGGGCTAACTGGCCTGTTTTCATTCTCATCTATCACCCTTCACTGGTGCTCCGCCAGCGTATCCCGTTAGCGCAGGCGGGGTTACCATACCATTTTCACCAATAAAATAAAAAAAAAAAAAACTTTTACGATAGACAAGTCATACAAATCGCTATCCACAAATCGTGTATGAAGCCTCATTTTTGTTTTAATCCTTAGCAATGTGGATGTAGCGAATTTATATTGCGAGAGATTATAATATTTGGCAACAATTTCCAACGTTGCCCGCCTGAATACACCCAATCGTTATACAATACTACTTTAGTATGTACATAAGGAATTACGTTGGAATTATTTTGTAAGGAGGCCAAAAACCGCGCGCGGTTATGCGAATGTATTTGTGGGAAGAAATTACGCATAATAATGAAGTTACAAGGTACGGAGGCAATACATTAGTCCTCAAGAATGGTAACTCTTGTTTAGTACCATAGGCGTCACAGTGTATACTGTGACGCTTATGGTCCTGCTCTTGTATATAGGTGACAGTTAGATTTTCATCCGCAACAAACAGCTTTAAAAAGGTAGAATTAAAATGGGATTAACATATGTGCGAAAAAGTCAAAAAGAAATGCGAAAATATGTGATTAATCGACGACATAATCATGCATATTTATTATGCTACTAAGAATGGCAAACAAGTTGATGGCGTCACAGTATATTCTGTGATGCCCAACGTAGTCATCATGCGGTGCCATTTTTGAAAACTATAGTCTTACGCCTTCATACCTTATAATTTCAGTTCTATATCCCACCCTTTAAACCAAAACACAGCCATGGAAACAGAATTGCTTTATAGCAGAAACACGAGTGGGACAGAGGTACCCAAGCAGACGACTTTTGTACGAAGTCTCAGATAAGATTGTAGATCTTACATTGTATTTTAAAAAGTTCAAACGAATTGAGCGCTTCCTTTTATTAGAAGTCGAAGTTAATACTACATGGAGGTACAAACTGTAATGACTCTACCAGTCACGCGTAAACGCGTGTATTGACGATGACAAACGCACTTGAAATTTGTCGCACTCATCGTTCATTAGATTAAAATAAACATAGAACTGTTGATAACATCACTACGACAATGTACTTAAATATTTATTTATTACACGGGTACACGTGTACCAAACTTCGAGTCTGATACTCGAACGAAAGAAACGTTAGATAAACATTAGTAACGTAACGAGTTTTTAGTATTCGAGTATTTTGGTTATCGTTAAAAAAAAAAAACTATTTCGTGACTCGAATTTGACGACTCGGACAAGTATAAGTAAGTATTATTCGAGTACTTTATTAGGCTCGTGTACTTTTCGATCATTTCTTTCAATTTATAAAGATAATAAATATTCACAATTTTATATACATTTCTTTATTAAAAAAATTATGAAACAGAAGTAGAAAACTTTAGGATAAACACGCAATTAGTATTCGAGTACCTTAAAAACTCGAAACTTGTATTCGAATATCGAGTATCCGATATTTGAGCCAGTACTCGAATCAGCTTGACCACATCACTAATACATACATACTAAAACATGTTGCACAGCGGATTTCGAGTATGAAAGTTCATAGATTCTGTCATTAAATCATCTCGTCGTAATGACGTGAAAGTGCGGTTAAGTGCACTTTAAACAGCTTTAGTTGGTACTTTGTCATATGGGATTTTTTTTGTGTTAATTTGTCAATCAAATTAGTCATTGTTGTAAAACTCCATAAATTTTTATCCTACTTTAAAATCATCATCATCATCATGCCATCATCAGGCCTCCCCCATAAGGAACGTCTTTGACTTCTTACAGTCTTATGTCTAGATGAAGTGACGACTTCTTGAAGTCGTGACTCCATATAGTGAGGGATCGTTCTACACCACATGAAAATGCTTTTTTATAAATCTATAAAGAAAACTTTCCATAACATTGCTTGGGTGCCTCTGTTCTTCTCGTGTTTCTGCCATGAGACAACTATATTACCATGGCTATTTGGTCTGATGGGTCGAAGGGTAACTATTGCCTATAAAAATTAACAGCACTATGGACCTCAAGAATATACTGTGGCGTCCACGGTACACCTTATGTGTTGTCGTTTCTTAGTGCTAAGGTGTTAGAGGCATAAGAACGTTCTTACTCTGTAGTTATACTACCATACGTTGTCTTTAAATTCAAGGGGAAAAGCATTGTTAGTTATAGAGTCTGACAGCTATATTGCGGGGGGAAAGGGATTGTTAGTAATGGAGACTGAAAATCCCATTGCTAGCGATATACCCAACCAGGTCGACCTCTTCGTGGTTCCCCCTGGAAACTATCATGATTAATTCAAGATGAATTCATCATGATGGGCTAACTGGCCTGTTTTCATTCTCATCTATCACCTTTCACTGGTGCTCCGCCAGCGTATCCCGTTAGCGCAGGCGGAGATACCATTCCATTTTCATCCAATAAAAAAACAGCTATATTGCTAACTATATATTTTATCAGTTCGACATCCACGCGATTTTCCCTAGAAATCATTATGGTTAATTTGTAATATTCGCTCTGTCTTGCATTTATCCTCATACCATCAGTCACTGGTACCCCATTAGCTTATATGGATGACGCAGGCGAGGTTACCATTCCATTTTCACCCATTAAAAAAGTTATTTATGTAATTAACGAAACTATTATTGCACTATTTACATGTTAACGATTAATCACTAAACCGTATGTCAGGGGGGAAAGGGATTGTCAGTAATGGGGTCTAACATTGCCATTTGCCATTTCTAGCAATATACCTTATCAAGTCGACTTCCACGCGGTTCCCCCTGGAAACTATCGTGAACAATTCTTGTTGAATTCGTCACGATGGGCTAACTGACCTGCTTTATCCTCACTTATTATCTCTCACTGGTGCCCCGCCAGCGTATACCGTTAGCGCAGGCGGGGTCATCATTCCAATATTATCCATTAAAAAAACCGTATGTCCATTAGGTTATGACAAATCACTATAATCACACTCATCTGGTTACCAATCAGAGCTCGTGACGTCACGGAGCCACGGTAGGGCTGCCTCTATCGATTTTGTGCCGACCTTCAGACAGCGTGACCTGCTAGTCGAATACAGGACTTTTAAAAGACGTTGCTGCCATAATGTACACGTAGGGGCCGAATTGTTCCTCTATCGGACCGACTTCAAAAAGAAGTTGCTCAATTTGGTTGTAGTTATTTTTTTATTTTTATTACCTCATAACTCGGCCAGTTATATAATGGTTTGATTTTTTTTTAACTGAAAGGATGTACTTATAGATTGGTCTCATATTCCGATTTGTAATAATAATGTATCGTATCACAATCCCATTATCCGCATGTGCAGAAAATATAACAATGTATGCAAGGAGCTTGATATCTTCCAACAATCCTTGCAATGTTACATTAAGGCTGCCAATTTGTTACTTTAAATGTATAGCCGTCATTCTTTTAATGTATATAATATCGAATGTTATGCAGAGCAGTTGTTGGAGTGCAAATTTAATGCTGTTATATGTAATATTTATTTTATTAATGTAATAATTTGTAATCTGTTGCGTTATTATAAATAAATATAAATATTTATCAAAATTAACCTGTGTGCTTGTAATGATTTCAACAAAAATTCATTACTTTACTCGTAAAATGGAAATAAAAAAAACTTCTTTTTTTTTAACTCGATTTGGTTGTATTTTTTTTTTATATTTGTTCCGTCAGTTGTAAACCGATTTGGGAAATTGTTTGTT